TTTGGTATCACTCGGAAGACTCACTCGAGTCAAGGGATCTGCAATCAACTGAGTAGACATTTCTGTACGCGTACACTTCTCTGTGTACGCGTGCCCTCGTAGCGTGTCGTAATCTGCTGTTTACGTAGGGGTTCATATCGTTTTATTGGACATCTGGGAGTAGGATGGATTATTGATCACGATTGCTGGGATGTGTGCAGGGATTTTCATTCGAGATCTACAATGTCGGTCAACTCAGCTCTCACACTTGTTCGGAAGAATCGATCGTTTGATGGTAAGTATTGTGGTTGCAATTTTTTCACGCGCCACGAAATTATGAACGTTCAGGCACTACGTACCGCTTCAGTCACCTGTCTAAGTGTCTGGGCAATTTAGAGGCTACTTTCTCGATTTTCATACCCGACTGTGCGACACCAAACTCGAAGGTGTGTGTTTAAAAATGCCCTCACCCGGGATTGAACCTGCGTCTATAGGTCCCTCTGGTGTATTATCTCTCTGGCCTCACATGCTCAGACCTTAACGTCACTGAGAAAGCCGGTAAGGTGGACGATAGGACGTGGAATATACCACTACTTTTCCCTCCAGGTTATCAACGCATTGCTTCGGCGCTCGGACTGGCCATCGCTTGCCCTGATACATCTCCTAGAGGTAGGTCTTGAGGAACTTGCTTATTCTACTGCTTATAGAGCTCTTGCTGCTATTGATCACCTTGAATGACTCGACAGCACTCGCACAGAGGTCAGGGTAATAGTACAGTAGTTCTTGACTGTAAGAAACGTGCATAACTCAGGAGTATGGGATGAATAAGGCGATGCGGAATCGTGAGAATTGACTGAATTGACACCTACACAAATGAGAAAGTTCTCAGGGTGTGCTATGAGTCTTGTCAGGTGCTGGTATCCCTGGTGAAGCAGACGAGTGGGACTTTGGTGTCGGCGCGGGCTACTACGTTGATGCCACACAGGAACCGTGGAGCAAGAACTATAACATGTAAATGTTCCTTCTTATGGCGCTCTGTTGAGGTGATCTAGGTACACTTACGTTACCAGTGAGTTTCCTGCACTTCTCCAAGAGAGTTTTCAACAGATCGATACGACCAACTGCAGTGTGATGGGCCATAGTGTTGGTGGTCACGG